AGAAAAAAGAAAAAAGAAAGCAATGGAATGGCTTAATTTCAGAAAGCAAGACATTCAATATTCTATCAATTCTATCATCATTACTCAGCTTACAATAGCAAATTAGTAAATCTTTCAACTATTTGTGTTACAGTATTGAATTTTAAAAGTTGCTGTTTGAGAGCCGGGCGTGGTGGCACACGCCTGTAGTCCCAGCACTTGGGAGGCAGAGGCAGGTGGATCTCTGTGAGTTCAAGGCCAGCCTGGTCTACGTAATGAGTTCCAGGACAGCTGGGGCTACAGGGAGACCCTGTCTCAAAAAGACCAAAAAAAAAAAAAGTTGCTGTTTTAGTTACTGACTTGAATTTTCTTCTTTTTAAAATATATTATTTTTATTTTATGTGTATGAGTGTTTTGCCTGCATGTGTGTAAGTGCACCACGTGTGTGGCTGGTGTCAGTAAAGGCAAGAAGAGGATACAGGATCCCTTGGAACTGGAGTTGAGAACAAGTGCTAGCTACTGTGTGGGTGCTGAGAATCGAACCCGGCTCCTCTGGAAGAGTAGGTGCTATTAACTGCTGAGCCACCTCTCCAGCCCCAATTTGAATTTTTAAAAAAAATTTAAAATATTTATTTTTATTTTATGTGTATGCGTGTATTTCCTCCATGTAGGTAAGTGCACCCGTGTCATGCAATGCCTGAGGAGGTCAGAAGAGGCTGTCAGATCTCCTGGGACTGGAGTTATGGACAGTAGTTAGCTGCCATGTGGGTGCTGGGATTTGAACCCGGGTCTTCTGCAAGAACAGTCACTGTTCTTAACAGCTGAGCCATCTCTCCAGCACCCCCAATTTGAATTTTCTTTGATAAAAATGGCTAAACCAATTTTGGCTTGGGAATATGACAGAATTTCCAACAGTTTCTCAAATGGCCTTAAAATTATTTCTGCCATTTTGTACCAAGTATTTATGAAAGTAGCGTTCTCAGCATTGACAATTATGAAATCAAAATATTGATGAACTCTGAAAAATGTTGATGATGCTCTGTCCTGCAGTACCAAATAGCCAAGATTTCAAACTTTATGGAAAAATATGCAAGTACAACCACATCATTCAGATGCAAATTTGCTTTTTTAGCTCTCAGCAAATGTTAAAATTATGTTACCAAAGAATTGTTTTTAAAGATTTTTCCTTTTTTTGTCAGGCATGGTGGCACATGCCTTTAATCCCAGCACTTGGGACACAGAGAGAGGCAGGTGGATCTCTGTGAGTTTGAGGCCAGCCTGGCCTACATAGTGATTTCTAGGCCAACCAAGGCTACATGAGACCTTTCCTCAAAAAAAAAACTTTTTTTGTTTTACATTATTTATATAAAATTTTAAATATCTATTTTTCAATTGTATATATATGTATGTATGTATATATGGGGGCAGTATGCATGGAGGTCAGAAGATAACTTGTGGGAGTCAGTTCTTTCCTTCCATCATGTGGGTTCCAGGGATCAATCTTGGGTTGTCAGACTTAGTAGCAGTTGCCCTTACCCTCTGAACCATCTCACTGCCCCCCAAAATAACTTTTCAAATTAAAAAGTAGATGGGGCATGGTGGTTCACACCTTTTATCCAGGACTCAGGAGGCAGAGGCAGGCGAATCTCTGTAAATTCAAGGCCAGCCTGGTCTTCATAGTGAGTTCTAGGACAGCTGGGGCTACAGGGAGACCCTATCTCAAAAAGACCAAAAAAAAAAAAAAGTGGCCATGTGTAGATGGGGATGACTTTGAACTTCTCATCCTTTCAATTCCCCTCCCAAGTGCTGGGATTACAGATGGGAGCCATCACACCCAGCTACAGTAAATTCTTTATGACTTATTATCAGTAACTGATTTGTGTATCTACTTTTTTATACCTATGTGACCAGGGTTGTGTAATCCTGAAACAAAAGGAGGGGCAAGTGGAAAGGTTAAAGAAGCTCTGTGCTAGGCAAGTCTGCTGCTGACTTCATCCCCAAATCCCAGTCATGTATTTGACACTTTGGTTGTGGTTTTGTTTGGAGACAGGGTCTCATGTAGCCCAGGCTGACCTTGAAATTCTGATTGTCCTGCTTCTAACCTCCAGAATGCTGAGATTATAATATGCCCCCACCACACTCAGTTTATATGGTGCTGGGGATCAAACCCAGAGCTTCGTGCATACTAGGCAAGCACTCTATGACTGAACTACGATTTTTAAGTCCTTGTTTGGCATTCTGAGACACAGTCTTGCCTTAGGTCCCTGGCTGGTCTGGTACTCACTGTTACCCAGGCTGCCTCCACCATGAAGATCTCTTCCTTTGCACTGCTGGAATCACAAGTGTGGGTCACCATGCTCAGCAAGGTCACTTTGAAAATTGCAACCCTTTGCAGTCACAATTAAGAAAATTAATTAAGAACTAGAATAGACCCCCTCCTCCCCGGGCATGGTGGCACATGTCTTTAATCCCAGTACTTGGGAGGCAGCGGCAGGCAGATCTCTATGAGTTCAAGGCCAGCCTGGTCTATGTAGCATGTTCTGGGCCAGCTGGGGCTACAGGGAGACTCCTGTCGAGGGGAGGGGGAAGGAAAGAAGGAAGGAAGGAAGAGAAAGAAAGGAAGGAAGGAAGGAAGGAAGGAAGGAAGGAAGGAAGGAAGGGAAAAAAAGAAATAGAATAGACCATTGATTCATTGTCCCACAGAACTCTCCGTGACAGTTCTTCCTGTGACCACTAGCCCCTGGTTGCCACTGATCTCTCTCTCTCTCTCTCTCTCTCTCTCTCTCTTTCTCTCTCTCTCTGCCTCTCCTCTCTGCCTCTGTCTCTGCCTCTGTCTCTCTCTGCCTCTGTCTCTGACTATCTCTGTCTCTATCTCTGCCTCTCTCTGTGTGGTCTCTCTGTCTCTGTCTCTCCCTGTCTCTCTGTCTCTCTCTATGTGTCTCTCACTGTTTCTGCAGCAGTGCCACACATGTAGAATCACACTGTGCTGCCTTTTGAGTCTGGCTTCCTTCTGCAGCTGAGAAACATCTGTGTTGTTTCTAAAGTCTGGTTCTGGTACTTAACAAATAAAACTACCATAAACACACATTTAGGGCTGGGCCTGTAGGTCAATTGGTAGAGTGCTTGTCTACTGACATGACCCCCAATATCACATAAATGACCACCTGTAATCCTAGCACCCCAGCACTTGGGAGGTGTAGGCCAGAGAATCGAAGTTCAAGGTCATCCTCAGCTACATTGTGAGTTGAAGCCAACCTGGGGGATGCATGAGACTCTGCCTCAAAAATAAACAAAAATAAATAAATAAAACACCTCTATATAGGTTTTGTGTGAGGATGTATTTTTCATTTCCTTAAGAAAAATGGAAGAATTGCCAGGTGTGGTGGCGCACGCCTTTAATCGCAGCACTTGGGAGGCAGAGGCAGGCAGATCTCTGTGAGTTTGAGGCCAGCCTGGTCTACATAGTGAGTTCCAGGACAGCTGGGGCTACAGGGAGACCCTGTCTCAAAAAGACCAAAAATAAATGGAAGAATGAAATTACTGAGTCATGTTCACTAAGCTTAGGTAAATATGATGGTGAGTCACATAAGTATACATTTACCTCTGTGAGAGGCCAGTTTTCCTCCCTCCCTTGCACAGGGCCCTCATACTTGCTGGGCAAAGTCTATCACTGACCTATGCCCCCAACTCCAAATTATCTATCTATCTATCTATCCATCCATCCATCCATCCATCTATCATCTATTTATCTGAGGTTTTGTTTTGTTTCGTTTTTTTGAGATAGGATCTGTTGTATTCAAGGCTAGCTTCAAACTCGGTATGTAACCAAGGCAGGTTCTGAACTCCTGATCCTCCCGCCTCTACCTCCCTTCCCAAGTGTTGGGATTACAGGTCTCCCAATTTTATTTATTATTTATTTTTAAAGATTTATCTTTTAAAATATTATTTAAAAATATTTTTATTATTTTCATTTCACTTCTATGAGTGTATTGCCTGAAAGTATGTAAATGCACCCATGTCATGCAATATCCTTGGAGGTCAGACAAGGGTATCAGATCCCCTAAAACTGGAGTAATGGACAGTTGGTAGCCACCAAATGGGTACTGGGAATTGGACCTGGGTCCTCTGCAAGAGCACCAGTACTGTTAACCACTGAGCCATCTTTCCAGCCCCCAAGCCCCCAAGATTTATCTTATTTATGTGTGGGTGTGAACATGTGTGTACAGGTGCCCACAGAAATCAGAAGGGGATCTCAGATCCTTGGAGATGGAGTTATAGGCCTTTGTGAACCACCTGATGTGGGTGCTGGGATTCAAATCTCTGGTCCTCTGACCGAGCAGTAAGTGCTCTTAATCACTGAGTCATCTCTCCTGCCTTCCTTCCTTCCTTTCCTCCTTTCCCTTCCCCTCCCTCCCCCTCCCCTCCCCTCCCTTGATTTCCTCCTTTTCTCCCCTCTCCTACTGCTTTTCCTTCCTGTCTCGCGTTCTTTTTTTCTTCTTTTCATACTCCTTTTATTATTATTTTTAATTTTGTGTATGTCTGTGTTTGTGCATGTGAGTGCAGGGCCTGAAGAGGCCAAAAGGAATAAAAAAGATGAGGGTTCTTGTTCTAAAGTACAGATCTGAGAGAATTCTAAAGGAACAGTTTGTCTGCAGTTTGGTTCCACTCTTAGCCTTTCTTTTTTTTTTTTTGAAACAAGGGCCTGCTATGTAGCCAAGGTTGGCCTTGAACTTGTGGCAATCAAGCTTCTAGAGTGTTGTCATGACAGGTGTGGGCTATCACACCTAGCTTCAATTATACTTTTATTTAAATTACCTTTTTATTTTTTATTTTTTGGTCATTTTGAGACAGGGTCTCCCTGTAGCCCCAGCTGTCCTGGAACTCACTATGTAGACCAGGCTGTCCTTGAGCTCACTCACAGAGACCCGCCTTCTCTGCCTCCCGACAATAAAATAATTTTTTAAAAAAGATTTCCCTTCCTGAACGCTTGCTACTTCTGAGTTTCCTCCATCTTTGCTTCTGTGAACAGTTTGAAGGGTATCTTCACCTGGATTCACAGAAGTCAAGGCTGACAGGTGTTCTCTGCCATCCTTCCATAGGGACACTGTCTGGAGCCCCTCATCAAGCCTCATCTCAGACCTCAGGGAAGTGTCTGTCAACCTTTGGGCCATCCACCCCCTGAACCCCTTCCACAAGGACAGTGACTCCAGGGCAGCTCCCAAGTGATGCAGAGAGGAGAGGCCGTGGAGTCCCAGCCCTCCGCCTTCGGGTTCCGGGAAACCCTTGGACTAGCTCATGAGGATCTGCCACCAAGCTCAGGGTGGCGCGGATCAATGCAGGATGGGCCCTGCGGATGCAGAGGGGCCCAGCAATGCGGGAATGCACCAATCCGCACACTCCCGCCCACTCTATCGCCCCGCCCACCACCAGCTACTGGAAATTGAGGCTCCTAGGCCAGCAAACTGCCAGTTCCAACTTCCCTTGTGTCTCGCACCTTCTGTCGCCTCTGCCACGGTCATCATGTCTCGGGTCCGGCCCGCCACCGTGCTGGGTGCCATGGAGATGGGGCGCCGCATGGACGCTACCTCCAGCGCCGCTTCGGTGCGCGCCTTCCTGCAGCGCGGCCACACGGAGATCGACACGGCCTTCGTATAAGCGGACGGCCAGTCCGAGACCATCCTGGGCGGCCTGGGGCTCGGGCTGGGCGGCGGCGATTGCAGAGGTAAAGGTCTCCCGTGACCTCCCCCTGCACAGAGCAGAGCTGACCCCTCCCCGGCACAGCTTCGTCCCAGTCCTGGGGCTCAGACCCACTCCAAAGCCGGTGAACCGCAACCCTCGAGGCACCGCTAGGTGTGCACAGTTGGACCGTCTCTCCTGCAGAGAGCCCTAGGACCCTCCCCACAGCCTGACCATGGGGCTGTGAATCCACCGCTGTGAGGCTTCTCCTGGCCGTTCCTTCATGTGCCTCTGACCTGATGTGCGGAGACGCCTATCTTTGTAGCCTGGCACTGCCCAGCATAGTCCCAGGCCCTAGACTTTGCTCCCTGTAGCCCTGTGTGCCTCCTGGTTAATAGCACTGCGGCTTGGCCAGGGTGGCAACCATGGAAATCACCATAAGCTCTCAAAGGGAATAGAGGCGGGGGTTGTGCAACTGTCTTGAGCTCCAGACTCAATTGGTCACCTGCCTCAGGCCCTCAATGGTGGAACTACAACTCTCTAGGATGGCTGCTTCGCTCTTTTTTTAAAAAAAAATTATTTTTATGTATATGAGTGTATTGGCTGCATGTATGTGAGTGCACCCGTGTCGTGCAATGCCTCAGAGATCAGAAGAGGGCTTTGGATTCCCTTGGAACTGGAGTTAAGGATGGTTTGCAGCTGCCGTGTGGGTGCTGGGAATCAAACCTCCAGGTCCTCTGCAAGAGCAGTCAGTGCTCTTAACCACTGAGCCATCTCTCCAGCCCTGGTTGCTTAGCTCTTAGTAGCATCCTTTGCTCCCTTCCATCCTGAACTCCATTCTCCTGTGGAATTTTCTTCCTGGATTCACAGCACAGTGGGGTTCAGAAGAAAAGGAGGTATGTGCATCTGTCCCACCATTTCTAGATTCTGGCTCTCTCCAAGTGACAGTGATGAGTGAAAGGTTTTTTTTTTTGTTTATTTTTGTTGCTATTGTTTTGTGCTTATTTATTTTATGTGTATGAGTGTTTTGTCTGCATGTAAATAAGTGCACCTCCGTGTGCAATGCCCACAGAAGCCAGAAGAGGGCATCAGATCCCTTGGAACTGGAGTTACCCACTGTTGCTAGCCCTCTAGTCTCCCTCTAGTCCCTGTTTTTGTGTTTTGAGAAAAGTTCTCACCATGCAGCCCAGGCTGGCATAGAATTTGCATGGAACCCAGGCTAGATCCTCCTGCCTTAGCATCCAGAGTTCTGGCATTACAGAGCACTACCATACCCAGCAAGAGCCTTCATCTTACTTCTAATCAATGTTTCTTTTCTTCTCTCCCTCCCATCCTTGAGGGCTAGCTGGGCCAGCACCACAGAGCTCAGAGTAGAGACTGAGTTCCCATCAAGTAGAACAGGAAGGGGGCTGGAGAGATGGCTCAGCTGTTGAGAGCACTGGCTGCTTTTGCAGAGGACTTGGTTTTGATTTCCAGCACCCACATGGTAGCTAACAACTGTCCATAACTCCAGTTCTAGGGAATCTGATGCCCTCTTCTGACCCCCATGGGCATTGCAGAACATGGGTGCTATTCACTCAGGCAGGCAATACATTCATACACATAAAATAAAAATAATAAAATATTTTTAAAAAAGAAAGGCGTGGTGGCACATGCCTTTAATCCCAGCACTTGGGAGGCAGAGGCAGGTGGATCTCCTGGGGTAATCTACATAGCAAGTTCCAGGTCAGCTGGGGCTACAGAGAGACTCACTGGCCTCTCTTGCAGTGGATGTAGATTTGGTTCCCAGCACCTACATGGCAGTTAACAACCATTGTTCCAGAAGATCTGACTCCCTCTTCTAGCCTATGCAGGCATTGCACACATGATGCACTTACATACAGGCAAAACACTCATATACATAAAGTAAAAATAAGTAAAAAATATTAAAAAGAAGGGTGGGGAAAGTGGTGGAGTAGAAAAGTTCCAGATTTGTAGTCCCTCGAGTCAGGATGCCCATGATGGCATCTGGGCTGTCCAAAGTGATTTTGCATATGTGGAAAGTTCCTGTTGCCCATCTATCCATCCAAATGGGATTCTGAGCCACTCGGGTAGCCAGGCTCTGGCCTGTTTTCATGGGTAGAGCCTTTGGCTGACCCCAACTTTCCTTCCCATGGGCCCACTTGAGGCCTGTGTGTCTGTGTCCTCAGTTCTTGCTGCACCTTGCTCACTGCCCTCCTGGTTTCCAGACCAGCGAATTGGGCATGCTGCATTCAGGGTCATCTTTCAGAACTAAGATGACCACAGATCTCCAGAAAGCCTTGAGACTCCCCACCACCCCTAAAATCCAGACTATGGGGGTGCTGAATCTGGTGCTCTTGTACCTGGCCTAGCAGGCTTGGCTCCCACACAGGGTCTTCTTGCTCAGGGGCTTTTAAAGCGCACACCCCTCCTCCACTCCCTGTCATGACTGTCCCACGTTACCTCCCCTGCTGGCCTCTGACTTGCCCTAGACACTCAGATGAGATTCTAACTCACCTCCAGCCTGCCTCTACCTTTGTGTTCTGGCCTCTTATAGACCTTCATGTTCCCCCTGCCTCCCTACTCAAGACTGGCCCTGCACACTGCCAAAGCCCTGTGGGCAGGAGTTTCTCTACCAGCCCCAGTGCCAGGCCTGACACATCCAGGTGCCCTTGTATAATCGCCATAGGGAGGACATCAGCCACTTGCAAGGTCCACTGTCAGCTAAGTGGTCAGTCCTCAGGACTTCTCTGTAAGCCATTATCACTTTCCCTCCCATTGTGGTGAGATCAGAACTTTGTCAGGGTCACAGCTACTAATGGAAGATCTGGGATTTGAACTCGATTCCCTGTCTCTTGTTTCTCTTTCTCCTTCCCTCCTTCCCTGTAACTATGAGCCATCCCTCCCTCCTCCCTCCCTCCCTCCATCCATCTCTTCCTACACTCCTTTAGTTTTCTGGGGTTACAGAGCTGACCTCACACTATGTAGCCAAGGATGACCTAGAGCTCTTGATCCTCCTGCCTCCACCTCCCCAGTGCTGGCATCATAGACATGCATTACCATGCCTAGCCCAGCTCTATCACTTAACTGTTACAATAGATGTCTTGTTTGATAAAGTGACCTGAATTTCCATTTTTCTCCCTGGAAAGTGAGAATTGCTACCAAGGCTGTTGCAATGAATGGGAAAACACTGAAGCCCGATGATGTCCGGTTCCAGTTGGAGACGTCACTGAAGCGGCTGCAGTGTTCCCAGGTGGACCTCTTCTACCTGCACATACCCGACCATGACACCCCTATAGAAGAGACGCTGCAGGCCTGCCACCAGCTGCACCAGGAGGTGAGGGCCCTGAGCTCAGGGAGGTGGGCTCTGCTCCTCTCCTGACCATGCCAAGACAGTGAGGCTCCAGGCACCCAGGACAGATCTGGATACAGACCCCCTCCCTGACTCCCACTAGTCTCCCCTTCCTGGTCTCCTGGACTGAGCTGGGTTGTGACAGAGCCTCTCCCCTGCAGGGCAAGTTTGTGGAGCTTGGTCTGTCCAATTATGCCTCCTGGGAGGTGGCTGAGATCTGTACCCTCTGCAAGAGCAACGGCTGGATCCTGCCAACTGTGTACCAGGTAAGGGGAACCCACTATGCTGGGGCTGCCCAGGTCTTGGGCTTCAAGGCTCTTCTGGTTCTGGGTTTCCTTGGGCATAAACACATCCTCCCTATAGGTATATGCCCAATTGTCAGGGTCCAGGATTTTTAAAAAATATTTTATTTGTTGGCCAGACATGTTGGGACATACCTTTAATCCCAGCACTCAGGAGGCAGAGGGAGGCAGATCTCTGAGTTCAAGGCTAGCTGGGGCTACAGAAAGACCCTGTCTCAAAAAGACCAAAACAAATTTTTTTTGTTATTATTTTATGTGTATGCATGTGTATCACCTGCATGTATGTAACTGCACCAATATCATACAATCCCCATGGAGGACAGAAGAAGGTGTCGGATCCCCTAGACCTGGAGTTACAGTTATTAGCTGCCATGTGGGTGCTGGGATTCAAACCCGGGTCTTCTGCAAGAACAGTCAGTGCTTTTAACTGCTGGGCCATCTCTCCAGCACCAAGGGTCCAGGATTCTTAAGGACTAAACCGGGATGTTTACAAAGGTAGAGTGAAGATCCCTTTTCTTGACATGTCCACCATCTCCAACTGTCTTCTGCAGGGCATGTACAACGCCACCACCCGGCAGGTGGAAAAGGAGCTCTTCCCCTGCCTCAGGAACTTTGGATTGAGGTTCTATGCCTACAACCCTTTGGCTGGTATGAGATGCCATGGGGGCAGACCCTGTGGGTGGGTGGGCATGCCTGGCTTGTCTCTGCCTCTTGCTGTCCTGGTGGATACTCAGCCCAGGCCCTGGGAAGCACAGGAGCTTTAAAAAGGGGGTGAGTCTCTCCTTCCTCCAGGCTCCTTCCTACTCCCCAGTTGAGAGCAGGGAGGGACCTGGCAGCCTGTGGGAGTCTGGCAGGGTCTGAGGGCAGCCTTCCTGCAGGGGGCCTGCTGACTGGCAAGTACAGGTATGAAGACAAGGACAGGAAGACCGAGGGTCGATTCTTTGGGAATCAGTGGTCTCAGATATACATGAACCGGTGAGCTGTGGTGGGGTTGGTGTCTGGGCAGGTAGTGGTATGGGTTCCCTCAGTTCCTTGAGGTTATTTTCCTGGGATCAACCTTCCTCTATGTCCAGATCTGAGATCCTGGACCCTGGCAATTCTTTCTTCAAAGTCATGATTATTTGAGGAGAGCTCTTTTTTCTTTTTTTTTTTTTTAACCGTGTCTCACCCTTAGGAAGAGCTCTTCTATTACCCTCAGTAAGAGAACAACCATCAGATGGAAGCAGGAGAGCCTAGTGCTCAGTGCTGGCCCAGGCAGTCTAAGTCTTGTGAAGTGGTGGTAAAATTGTCATCAGTGTCTAAAGTCATTGTTGAACAGCTGTTGGGCCAACCAACCTTTTTTTTTTTCTCTTTTGAGTCAGGATCTCATGTATCCTGGACTTCTCTCAAACTTGATATATAACCAAGAATAACCTTGAATTCCTGGTTCTGCTATCTCCACCTCCCAAACGCTAGGAGAACTGGTGTGTGTTACCACACCCTGCTCCAAAGCTCAAGTATTGAAATTTTTTATCTGACTGGGAATACTAAGGCTAGAGGATTGCAAGTTTGAGGTCAGCTGGACCACATATCAAGACCAGATGGTATAGGGGAGAAAGAAGAAGCAAAAGGAGAAGAATGAAGGGGAAAGGAAGTTAGAAGGAGAGAAGAATTTGGGCTGGGGGGGATATAGCTCAGTGATGGAATGCTCAAAGCCCACACTGCAAAAAAATAAAACAAAACAAAACAAAGTGTTTTCCAGTTGGAAAAATATCTGCTGTAATCCATGCTTGTTGATGGTTAGCTAAAAGGAAATCTTTTTTTTTTTTTGAGACAGGTCTCCTTGTAGCCCCAGCTGGCCTGGAACTCACTACATAGACCAAGCTGGCCTTGAACTCACAGAGTTCCACCTGCCTCTGCCTCCCAAGGGCTGGGATTAAAGACATGCACCACCACACCCGGCAAAAGGAAATCTCTTCCTAGTGTCATCCTTTTTGTTTTGTTTTTAGTTTCCCCCCCAGCATTTAGTGTGCCATCTCCAAAGTCTATGTTTTGATTCTAAACTTATCCAGCTTAAGATCTTCTGTAGGCTCCAGAGAACTATTAGTGTTTCCAGATTCACAGAAGCCAAGTCTCCAAGGTTAATTTCTCAGCATAGTTTGATCTATTTTTGTTTTCTCCCACTGGGAAGAGAAGGCCCAGCAAGCAAGTTTCCCACAGGTGGCACCAATGGTTTCCTAGAAATAGCCAAAGGCATAATCGGTGGAGCAGTTAATATTGATACATTTTGTGAATGTTGCTGTTGCTATGACCTAATCCTTTATCTAGTGGGAGTTCATGGCTCACTTACTGACATGGCCCTGGATTTTTGTTAGAATTACAGATGAAAAGGTGATGTGATAATGAAGTAGAATGGACCTCAATAGATGCAGATAGCTCTATTAGCCACAAAGGGCAAGCAACCTTCCCTCAGGAATGGAGGTTGTGCATTGGGGTTGGGGAAAAAGTCTGGGATTTATAGGTGAACCCAGAAAATTCCAGAAAGTGGGTTGTGCCTTCTTGGGTGATTTTGTGCTCCTTCCTAGAATCTGGGAAGGGAGAGATGGGGATTCTCATAGAGAACCAGGTATCTCTGCGAGGTGGTTGGTAAGGAACCAGATCTGCAAGGAGGCTGATAAGGAACCGGATGTCTTCCGTTAGTGGCTTTATAAGGAACCAGATGTCTAGGCTAGAGGCCATGTGTTCTGAGATAGATGTCTCTCTTTCCTGGAAGGGGGAGGCAGGGTGGGCGGATGGTCAGTTTGTTCGGTCATTTGTCAGGCTGAATTTCCTTCAGATTTGACCATCAGCACTGTAAAACAAAACAGCAAGAAAAACCACTTACCTGCAGCCCTCCCCGCCCATGGTCTCCAATCCTCCTGCAAGGGAGTAGGAACTGTTGCTCTAAGCACTGGCTCTGAAGTCACGGTTGAACACTGCCAGGGCCCAGGCCTCTGCCCTGGACAATCAAGGCCTGGTGGCCTCATCATGGCCACCTTTTATAGTCTATGAAGCATGATCAGACCCTCCCCTACTGAGGTCAGTGAGATAGGCTGGCAGGGAGTGTTTCCTTTCCTGGTTGGGCTGACCGGTGAGCTGGGGAAAGGGAGGTGGCTCAGCCAAGGCCACAGAAGCTGGACTGGTGCCCAGGATGTGTCCCAGGGCCTTCTGTGACCCAGGGACGCAGATGTGATGCTGTTGGCATCTGAAGTCCTCATTTGTGGAGTTGTGCTGTTAGCATCTGGTGAGTATGCTAAATGCCAGGGTCCTTGTCCTGTGTCCCTCCCCAGCTTGGTGAGGGGCCTGGAGGCCTTTGTGTTCATGGTTGCTCAAGATGCAGAGCCTCCGCCCGAGGACACTGGCCCCTCAGGCCTGCAGGGATTTGGTCAGCCTCAAGTGGCCCCAAGGTACTGACCCCTGTACCACTCTTCCTACCCATTCAGCTACTGGAAGATGGAACACTTCAAAGGTATTGACCTAGTGGAGAAGGCTCTGCAGGCTGCCTATGGCACCTATGCCCCCAGCATGACCTCAGCTGCTCTAAGGTGGATGTACCACCACTCACAGCTCAAGGTAGTCTAGTGAGCCCTGGGTGCTCAGCTTTTGCTGTTAAGTTGGATAGGGGACGGGGAGGCAGGGAGGTGGGAGAGTGTTCCACAGCTCTCTGGTTAGTGCTGAGGTGATGACTCTAGCCCAGTCCTTCTGGGTGGTAATCCTATAGTTCTCAGAGAAGTTACATAAGTGCCAGGTTACCAACACTTTTAACAGTGGCTATATTAAGTTTGATCATCCCATTTTTTTTTCAGTCTTTTTGAAACAGGGTCTCCCTGTAGCCCCAGCTGGCATGGAACGCACTATGTAAGCCAGGCTGGACTTGAAGTCACAGATCTGCCTGCCTCTGCCTCCTGAGTATTGGGACTAAAGGCATGTGCCACCACACCCTGCTTCATCCTTTTTTTTTTTTTTTTTGGTCTTTTTGAGACAGGGTCTCTCTGTAGCCCCAGCTGTCCTGGAACTCACTATGTAGACCAGGCTGGCCTTGAACTCAGAGATCTGCCTGCCTCTGCCTACCAAGTGCTGGGATTAAAGGTGTGTGCCACCATGCCCAGCAAATATTTTTATTTTATGTGTAGTAGTTTTGCCTGCATGTGTGTATATGTATCACCTGTGTGCAGTGCCTTCAGAGGCTCTATAGAAGGAGGCACTGAGTCTTCTAGAACTAGAGTTACGGATAGTTGTGAGCTGTCATGTTGGTGCTGGGAACTGAACCTAGGTCTTCTGCAAGAGCAGCCAGTGCTTTTAACCCAGGTCCTCTGTAAGAATGGCCAGTAAACTTAACCACTGAGCCATCTCTTCAGTTACTAACATCCTGATTTTCATATGAGGAAACTGGCTCAGAGAGGGGTCAGTTTATTTGAAAACGTCCCACAGATCCATGTTGTAGGAAATAAACATGGATTTGACTTTGATATATATATATGTATATACACATGCACACATATATATGTATACACACACACACACACACATACACAATTTTGTCTTTTTGAGACAGAGTCTCCCTGTAGCCTCAGCTGGCCTGGAACAATATAGACCAGGCTGGCCTTGAACTCACAGAGATCTGCCTGCCTCTGCTGGGATTAAAGGCACGTGCCACCATGCCCACCCACAATAAATGGCAATTTAAAAAAATATATTTTTCAAGCTGGGCATGAAAATAAATTGCCATTTATTGCATCCCTTCCTGCCTTCCCTGTAGAGCTCAGTTCTGTCTCTGGGGTCTCCCCCCGTCCCTGCTATCCCAGTTTCCTTCCCCTAACTCCTTTCACTAGCATGACTTTCTATGGTAACTGGGCCCTTTTAGTGAGCACCTGGTAAGTGCCAGGCCTGGAGCAAAGTGCCCCACAGATTCCCACAACCAACTGGCAGAGTACAGGGCATAAGCCCATGACACTGGCTTTCAGAGCCAGGGGAAGGTGACTATTTGGAGGAAATACACATTCCTCTGGAATCACACAGGCTTCAGTAAAAACAGGTCTCAAATCTTAGCAAGGGACAGGTAGGAATGGGTGGGTGACAGGAACCACTGAGCAGCAAAAGTGTGTTGAAAGCTGGGCCATCTCTCTTGCAGGGCACCTATGGGGATGCAGTCATCCTAGGCGTGTCCAGCCTGGAGCAGCTGGAACAGAACTTGGACTTGGTTGAGGAAGGTCCCCTGGAACCAGTTGTTATGGATGCCTTTGACCAAGCCTGGAACCTGGTTGCCCATGATTGTCCCAACTACTTCCGCTAGGCTCTCTGACTTGGGGAGGTGCAGAGGGCACAGCCTGTCCCCTCATTCTCTACCTGGGTCAGTTTGGGCCTTGAGCAGATTTGACTGTTCTGTGTTTTTTTTTCTAGTGCCTTGTTATACACCTGGTTACCTTGTGTGTGAAGGCTGGCTGAGCTCTGCCCCAGCATCTCCTGTTGAATAAAGCTGGCACCCGTCCTGGCTACATCGCAAGCGCCGTGGCAGACCTGGTGGCCTTGCTCTCTCCAGTGCCTGAGGCTTGCTTCCTGCTATCCTCTGAAGGGCTGGGTGGAAGTGGGCAGGAGTGTGCCTGGCCTCCAAAGGGCAGAGGCATTGGAGGTTCTGGAGGAGCCTTACTCCTGAGTCTAGCCTGACCTCTTGGCTGTGAGGCTTGGTGGTGGCCCTGTGCTTCTGTGCATGTTAGAAATGGTCAGGTTCCCTTTACTCTAACAGCACCATTATTAGACTTCCAGTGCCCCTGCCCCCAACCACTGAGTCAGTCCCACAGCTGTGGATGCCAACTGGGTGTTCTCTGCCCCTTGTAAGGTCTCATCATCTACCTAAAACATGAGATTCTGGGCTGGAGAGATGACCCAGTGATTAAGAGCACTGGCTGCCGTTGCAGAGGACCTGGGTTTGGTTCCCAGCACCCACATGGTAGCTCACAAGCATCTGTAACTCCATTTCTAGTGGATCTGATGCCCACTTCTGACCTTCATGGGGACTGCACAACATGGGTGCACTTACACACATGCAGGCAATACGCTCATATACAAAAAATATATTTTAAAAACAACCAACCAAAACCCCCCCATCTGATTCCACAGGTTGAACCAAGTACAATTCTCACAACCATCCTATAGAGGATTGGAAGCTGAAAGGTCATCTGGTCAACCAGGCTTCCCCAGGCTCAGGCCATGATATGGGCAAGGCTTTCGGAGTCACATGACTACTTGGAGGCAGAAGGCAATGCATCCCTCCTGGGGGTCACACAGGCTTAAGTAAAAACAGATTCCACATCTTACCAGGGGATAAGCATGTACTGAGGGTTGTTTTACCTGTTTCTTTTTCTTTTATATTTTATGTATATGAGTGTATTGCCTGTATGTATGTAAGTGCACCCATGTTGTGCAATCCTGTGGAGGTCAGAAGAGGGCTTCAGATTCCCCTGGAACTGGAGTTAAGGATGGTTTGTAGCTGCCATGTGGGTGCTGGGAATCAAACCTGGGTCCTCTGCAAGAGCAGTCAGTGCTCTTAACCGCTGAGCCATCTCTCCAGCCCCTGCTTTACCTGTTTCTAACTTGAAGGGCGATAACCTCTTGAACTCCCTTCTCAGTTCAGTTAATTTGCTTAAAGCAATTCACAGAACACAAGGAAACACTTATGCTATTTTGAAGTATGGTAGGGAGGCATGTGCTGAGCTTCTATGACCCCTCTGTGTGCAGCACCCTCAAGCGACCAGCACATAGGCAGCACAGAGACCCACATACTTCCTGTCACTGCCCAGAGCTAGGAAGCCTGTGACAGGCAGATCTTCTTTCCCACAGCTCAGCACACAGCAGGGCAGGGGCTGTCTCCTGTGTCCCTTAAGTGCTGTCTTCTAGCTGTAACTCCACTTTTACAATTAGTCTCAATTTTTAAAAACTACTTAAAATTTTTTTTCTAAGTCATATAGCCCTCGCTGGCTTTGAATTCAGAGATCCACCAGAGATTAACGGCCGGCATGACCATGTCCAGCTATAATGACCTTTCGATGTGTGCTCACATTGTGGCCTGCTAATGGCACATGTGGGAAGGTCAGGGGACATGTAGGAGTCGGTTTTCCTTCCACCATGGGGGTCCTAGAGGATTGAGCTCAGGTGGTTTGGCTTGGCAGCAAGTACCTTTACAGGCCTCGTTTTTGAGATAGGGTCTCATGTAGCCCAGGATAGCTCTGAATTCACTATGTAGCTGAAGATGACTTAGACCTCCTGCTCTTTGGGATTTCAGGTGTACACTGGACCCAGCCTTTTACTGAGATGAGGTCAGAGTATAGACTAGCTTCCAACTTTCCAACCTGCCTCAGTCTCCTGAATGGTTGTGATTACAGGCATGGCCAACACACTGACTTCCTGTCCTGGCTTTCTAGGAAGGCTTCTCTGCACAGACTTGATCATGAAGATGCCGCAAGGCCATATCAGTCTTGCTGGTACCCATATGTTTTCCATTTTCCTTCCTCCTGGGTGTAGGGCGGGACCCCTGAGGAGGGTCTTTTTTGAGACAGGGTCTCCCTGTTACCCAGCTGGCCTGGAACTTGCTATGTAAACCAGGTTGGCCTTGATCTCATAGAGATCTACCTTTCTCTGCCTTCCAAAGTACTGGGATTAAAAGTGTGTCACCACATCTGGCTGAGGAAGGTCTTTTGACCTACCATCCCAACAACTCACATCAGCACATCTTTGTGCCACTGGGGAGGGAACCTAGGGGCCTCACACATGGGTGGCAGGCAAATGGTCTATCACTGAATTATTTAACTCCAGCCCTTGTGTGAGATGCCTGCTCTTAGCCAGGTTTGGTGGCACATATCTTTAATTCTAGGGCTGGGGCTGGGATGAGAAAGAGGCCAGAGAAGTTCGTCAGACTACTCAAAAAGACTTGCTTTCTTAAGCCCAACAGCAGCTTTACTTTGCCTTAGCTATAGGCCCATGTTCTTGGCACTGGTCAGTTTTAGGCCTAGTTTGGGAGCATGTGTGTTAATGCAGGACACACAGGGCTAGAGAGGACATCAGCTCTGGGGGCTGCTAACTACCTGCAGAGCTGCATGCCAACAGTCCAGAGTTGTGCTGGTTGACCAGGCAAACAAGCACTCCAAATGGAAGCACAAAGCCAAAGGTCTTTTTTCTAAGAAAAGTCTCTTGCTGCCTATAGGGAACACCCTGTGGACCAAGTTTTATTCTTTATAGAAACAGTCCCATTAGCCTCCCTTATCTTTTTATTTTTTATTTTTATGTGTATGAGTGTTACTGTAATGTCCAGGACCTTTAGTCTAATGTCAAAGTTATTTTGCTTTTGGTTTTTATTTATTTATTTTAATTTTATGCGTGTGTTTTTCCTGCATGTATGTGAATGCACCCATGTCATGCAATGCCACGGAGGTCAGAAGGCGGCTTTGGATTCCTCTGGAACTGGAGTTAAGGACAGTTCGTAGCCACTATGTCGGTGCTAGGAATCAAACTCGGGTCCTCTGCAAGAGCAGTCAGTGCTCTTAACCACTGAGCCAGCTCTCCAGCCCCACCTCGTCTTTATCCATAGCAAAATAGCTGCTCTCTCCGGAGCGGCAGCAGTCCTGAGTTTTCCAGTGGACAAAGAATGTGCTGGAAGGTCTCAGTCCTTGAGTCAGCTGTCATCATCATCCTCTGACTCTCCCTCAGACTCGGGGGCGTTCTCGGGCAGGTCATCGTCCATCTGCTGGAACCTTCCTGACTGGGCGTCCCACATGTATTTGATGGTCACTCTGAATTCAGCCATCTCATACCCAAAAAGCTTCTATAAGAAGCAAAGGAAGAGGAAAGAGGGACAGATGTGATCAGAAGCACAGGGCTGTGTCCCAGCAGGGGAGGCGATGGCAGCAGTCTTTCCCACTACAGCCCTGGAGGACCGAGACTCACCAGGACACGAGCTTGCTCTGGGGTCAGCACGTCGCCCTCCTTGCACACCTCATAGTCAGACAGCAGGGTCACAACACCTGAAGGAGGGTGACCTCAAGTTACTCCCAGTAAAGAGACCTGTACAACACTGCTGCTACTGCCCAGAGCTAGGAAGCACCAGGCAGGTAGACTGTCTTCCCCGCAGCTCAGTACACAGCAGGGCAGGAGGTGTCTCTTCTGTCCCAAAGTGCTGTCCTCTGGCCATAACTCCATTCTCCAAATAGGAGGGGAGCCATCAGTCCTGTTTTCACAGGAGAAACTGGAGCTTTAAAGTAACTTGCTGGGTCAGAAGAAGGTCAGAGGGGAGAGCCTGGAGGCTGGTGCTCCTGGGCTCTTTTAGCTCCGGGACTTCCTGTACCTTTCTTAAGGGCAGTGGGCAGGCCCAGCTGCCTCAGCTGTGGCTCCATGGAGTGGGGGAACTGCTCCAGGGGCCCGGGATCCAGGCTCACGGTGAAAGTTGCTTTGTTCCCAGCTCGGGCAAAGTCCATTTCTGCATACTTTGTGAACCACCTTAGGGGAAGAGAAGGGAGAGTATGCAGTTCCCAACCATGCCACCATCCAGCTCCAGTCAGGCCCTGTAGCAAGTGGCCCCAGCCCCAGCCTCCCCTCTCTGCCCATCTTGGCTGGAGATGGGCAGTCAGGCTGGAGCATTGTGCCAGAGGATAAGAGAGCCTTGACTACAGCCCACCACTTTCAGTAATAGAGTTCCAAGAGCCAGTTCCAACTTGATGCCCCACCCAGACAGCGCCTTCACTGTTCCCCTGATCTGGGGACACTTACTCATTCACCTCGGCCTTTGTGCGGTCAGTAAAAAGGAGACCAACTTCACCCCTCAACTTCTTGCTGACCTGAAAAATCCAAAGTGAGCACTGCTTCTCCACTGGGGGCAATTCTGTCCACCAGGAGACACCTGGCATTGTTTAAAGATGTTTCTGAATGGTAGAGCCCCTGCTGGGCAGGGTGGGAGGACATACAGGGAACAACTCCATGGGTCTGGAGGTTTAAGGAGAACACAGATTTAAGGCAGGTCTGGCTCTTTTGGAGCCACAAGTTGGTCACATAGCTGGGCTGGCACATGGAAACAGCAGGAGTGAGAAGGCAGTTCAGCCTCAGCTCCTCCCAGAGAAGCCCTGTCACTTACCTGGTGCAAGTTGTCTTTGTACTCATCAGATGGGCTTCGGCCCAAGGCCACCATCATCACCTTGTTTTTGCCAAAGAACATCCTACCAAGAAAAAGGGAGCAGTGAGTCAGTGTTGTGTCCTGTCTGTGAAATGCAAAGCAGATCCAGAGCCCAGGAGTCCAGGGAGCCCAGGACCAGACAGGGCAGGTGTGGCCAGAGGCTCCCACTCTCCATGCAACCCACCCCTGCTGCCCCCAGTCCAGCAGTCCCTTTTTTTTGGTCTTTTTGAGACATGGTCTCCCTGTAGCCCCAGCTGTCCTGGAACTAATGCAGATCAGGCTTGCCTCAAACTCATAAGAGATCCACCTGCCTCTGCCCGAGATTAAAGGCATGCGCCACCACACCCAGCTAGGATTCCTGTCTTTATTCTCCCATCCACACAACTCAACTTTGTTGAGAGGCAAGATGAGAGGGCTCACTCTGAGCATCAGCGATGCCTCCATGCCTGGCCCTGGGCAGAGGCACATTTAACAGTCTACTCCAGAGCTGGTGCAGCAGTGGTGACTCCAGAGCCACCTGCCAAGTATTGCAACTTGCCACCAGGCTCCTGCAGCCGCTCAGGTCAGTGTGTGGGTGCACATACTGACATTCTAAAACCACTATGCCAGACTCCAGGGACCACTTGTCCTGAAGGGACCAATTCTGAAACATCACCCAAGTGACCACCGTGTCCCATCCCCTGGAAGCTCAGGGAAAGGCCAGCTCTAATAGTCGGCATGCTCTTCAGTGAATGACTCAGAGGGTCGGCACCATTCCCATATGTTGATGAGCAGCCTGGCCCCCCCCACCCCCCCGGGCTCTCTTCCTCTTCCACTGCCTGCTCACCGGCTGTGCTTCCAGGCGTTCCGGATGTCCTTCAGCTTGCTGTTCCTCATGTTGGCCACAGAGAAGATGAAGAGGTATTTGTAGGTGTCCACACATTTCCGAAGCTGTGGGACAATTCATGAGGCTCTAGAGTTGAAGGGGCAGCGTGGGTCGGGCCAACTGTGGTCTCATGGGGGAATCTGCTGTAGGCCTTTAATTTGGTTGTCTCCCTCTGCCATGACTGGTATCAGGGTCATCCACTACCAGGGAAGCTGAGAGTGCATCTAGATCCCACGGTCTTTCTAGAGCAACACGGGAGTGAGCACCTTGTTTACCTTTGCCACTTACTGTTAACCTAGAAATACCTATCCACTCTGGGAAGGCTTCTGCTAAGCCAGAATACAGGGAGCCTCTTTATTATTGACAAGGGGAACGACCACATCTGCACTCCCCTGCCTGGGCTGCTGGCTGAAGCCACTCTGAGGGGGAACTCCATTCATAAGGAACAGGGCTTCTGAGCACCAGGAGACATCTACCAGGCCCTCAGTGCAGGGCCAGCAGCTCAGCAACTGCACATGGAACACCACAAGCTCTACAGCTCATGACTCCCCAGCCTTCTGACTCCAGGCAGCATAACAAACCTCACTAAGCTTCAGTTACCCCAAATACAAAATAGCAGTAACATCACCTAGGTCACAGGGGTCCTGGGGGATGGTGTAGAAAAATAGTCAAAGAAGGGTTTGTGACGTGTGAGGCACGCAGTAGGCGCTCAATCAACTGGGAAACCTTGAGATGAGGGTTTCTGTTGGGGGAGGTGGCACTGCTGAAGGGAAAAAAAGGGCTGGACCTGAAACTATTCTTTTTTAAAGCAGTATACTCCCCTAGCAAACAGTCCTATCCCAACTTCTATAAGCCACTAAATGCACTGGGGTGCGGTAGGGAGCACAGGAATGACAACAAGGACAGTAGGTTCTTACCTCTTCTATTAGGTTCTGTTTCAGTTCCAATCCTTTCTTGGCAGTTTTCGTTAAGGAAACTAAGACCAAGAAGAAGAGATGGTAGAGAGGAATGAATCTAGGATTTATTGGATTTATTTTCTTCCCTTTTTTGGAGACTCATTTGAACTAAGTTAATGTGAAAGAAGGTAGCAAGTCCTTGGACACCATCATTCCTGGCATTCAAGGCCATGCCCAAGGTTGGTAGAGGATTTATCCAGTGTTTCTGGACCTGGAGACCCTGGATACCCCTATCACAAACCAGGTGTTCCACAGTCCTTGGGCTGACTGCTGGATCTACTTCAGTGAGGCAGCTGGGCTTGTTCCTGCTGATGGAGTGTTCTCAATGGTGGCCCTAACCTGCTGACTGAGGCAGGACCCTTTCTTACTCTTGGCCCCATATCTCCTTTCACTTCTTTTTTTTTTTTTTTTAAAGGAAGGATCTCACTACGCCGATCAGGCTGGCCTTGAACTCAAGATCCTTTTCCTTGACTTTGCTTCCCAAGTGCAAGGATTACAAGTATGAGCCACCTCATCTTGTTGGGAATCCATTTTTTCATTACCTAGCTGTACATCAGTTTTGCAACTTGGGCTCATGAATACAGTAACACCTCTCTGGAGAGGGCCACCCACCTCTACTGCAGAAATAACAAAGGCTAGTTTTCCTCCTCCTCACAAGAGGCATTTGTCCGGGCTGGAGAATAGCTCAGAGGTGCCAATGGCTCAGAAGGTGCTCTTAGTACTTTCTGATCTTACAGAGGACCTAAGTTCAGTAGTTCAGTACCCAGCACTCACAGCAGGTGCCTCACAACTGCCTGTAACTCCAGTTCTCTCACTCCAAGGGGATCCAGCACCTTCTGGTCTTCATGGGGACTGCACTCATGTACACAAACCCAGACTAAGATCACACACATACACACACAATTACAAAATTAAAAGGTTAACAAAAAGTTTGGTATTTGCCAGAACTGACTAGCGCTCCCTCCACAGAATCAAATTATTTGACAAGCACTTAACAGAACAAAGTCCTATGTATTCTCAGGAAGTAGACTGGCCACTTTCTTATTCATTATTCACCCTGCCTGCCACTCAGCATCCCTCTTTTCTCTTTTTGGTCTTTCCAGACAGGGTTTCCCTGTAGCTCCAGCTGGCCTTGAACTCAGAGATCCATAAGCTTCTGTGCCTCCTGAGTGCTGGGATTAAAGGTGTGTGCCACCATACTTGGCTCAGCATCCCCCTTTATAAACCACACATAATCAAAGGCAACCACACCAGCCAGTGGTAAGGATGGTAAAGCACAGAGAAAATGCAGCCAGCCACTTCCTAGCCTCTCCACTGCTAGGACTCAGACCCACATTAGTACTATGCTCTAGGTTACTGCTGGCCCACTGCCCTCCCTCAACCCTAGCTTGTCCACTTTGCTACAGCCACACTGGCCTCTTGTCCCAGAACATGTTAACTACTATACTGCTTCAGGCCCCTTTGCTCTGTGCTCACAATTTAGAACAATCTTCTCAGAAAACTGCACAGGTTTCTGCTCATTTGTCACCTCATCACGTTCATTTCCCGATCACATTAAATGAAACAATATCACATTTACCTTCTTTCTATTCCTCTTGTACTGTCTTTGACAAATTACACTTACTTAACTAAAATGGTAAGCTTGAAGCCACACCTTACTGGTGTTGGTTCCCTAACTGGATGCGGTGGTGGGCCAGCCTGTAAACCTAACACTTGAGAGGCCAAGGCAGGAGGGTGGAGAGTTGAGGTCAGCAAGGGCTACATTTAAAGAAAAGCAACAATCAAGCCTGGCACATGCCTGTAAAATTCCAACACTATGAAGAAGCTAAGACAAGAGGAAGTTCTTGAGTTTGAGACTGGTCTGGTCTACAGAGTGAGTTTGAAGCAAGTCTAAGCTTCATAAGCAAGACCCCATCTCAAAAATACCAAAACACGGTGCTGGAGAGATGGCTCAGCAGCTACAAGCACTGGCTGCTCTTGCAGAGGACCCCAAGGGGTTTGATTCCCAGCACCCACATGATAGCTAACAACTGTCCATAACTCCAGTTCCACGAGATCCAACGCCCTCTTCTGACCTCCGAGGGCATTGCACAGGTGCCTATACATGCATGCAGGCAATACACTCAGAAACATAAAATAAAAATACTAAAATATAGAGCTGGGCGTGGTTTGACACACCTTTAATCCTAGCACTCGGGAGGCAGAGGCAGAGGCAGGCAGATCTCTGAAAGGCCAGCCCGGTCTACATAGTGAGTTCTAGGACAGCTGGAGCTACAGGGAGACCCTGTCTCAAAAAGACCAAGGGGCGGGGGAGATAAACAAAGAGAAGAGAACGAATACATTGCATTCCCCACTTATTTAAAAACACCAAAAACGTCAAAGGTTGTATCTCAGTTGGTAGCGCTTGCCTAGCATGTTTATACTGGGTTCCACCCCCACCTTAGGATAAAGTGGGTAAGACTGCATGCCTGTAATCCCAGCACTAGCGCGATAGAGGCAGCGGCATCAGAAACTCAAGGCCACCCTTGGCAACATGAGACCCTGTCTTAAAAGAAGGCAAACACAGGATTCCCTAAATAGCCACTGTTTGTGCCAGAGATACATGCCACTATGGCAAAGGGAGTTAGGAATGGTCTCTTAGAAGGCGCTCTGTAAACTGACAAGTGAGAAGCAAAGCCTAGCCACCGCATACAGAAGGAAGTGCAGACATAAAGCGCCAGGCGAGGTTGCTCCAAGCCGGTGAAAGAGGGAGAAGAGGCCGGGGAGGAGGGATCAGACAGCAAGGAAGATGACAGGATCTGCGTGGGCCGAGGCGACATCGGGCACGGTCCGAGTCCTTGGGAGCAGTCGGTCCGTTCGGCAGAGCTCACTAGAGCACTCGAGGTGGGCAAGTCGGGGTGCCCGTCCCGTCCCACCCCGGCCCGGCTGCACCTCTCCCGGGTGACCTGCTTCCGCCACCCTGCCACCCCGACCCGCCGGATTCCTCCAAAGTCCCGTCGCCCCGCCAGAAGTCCTCGGCGTCCGACCCGTGTCCCTGCCGCCCCCACGAGGAGGTCCCCCGGCCCACCTTTCTTGTCGCGTTTAGATTTGGGCATCGCGCTGAAGCCACGTGCAGTGGAAGACGGTGTGGCCCGTCAGGACCCCGGCGGCGCGGGGGCTTCTGGGACGGCGTCCGGGGCTGCCCTCGCGAGCGCCTGACCCAACCTGCGTCGCGGCTCTTCTCTCCCCACTGGGTGTCGCCTGCTCTGTGTCCCTGTCCTGGAAGGTCACTTCCGGACCCAGGCTCCAAGTTCCCTCCAGTCCCTTCACTCGCCGCGGACTCTGAGTCCCGAGCCCCAACGAACCACCCCTCGCGCCGCCCGACTCTAAGGTTCTACGGGGGGGAGGGGGGCGCCCGGGGGGGCGCCCCGGTGCATGCTGGGCCGGTGGTGGGCGGTGCTTGGTCTTCCATCATGGCGGCGGCTGTGGTGTCCGGATTCTGGTTCTGGGCTGCACTACTTATCCCTGTGTCCGCGGTCTATGAAGACCAAGTGGGCAAGTTTGACTGGTGCGTACGGGTGATTCGTCTTCGGGAATTAGATGGCCGTTGCCCCAGCACCTGTCTCCTACCTGTTAACAGGAGGCGGCTACCATGGCGCAGGATCGACTGCATAACTTGAAGCAGGGCTTTAAGGGAGAGGTGAATGAATGGATGCCACACTCCTTCAGAATGAAAACGTTAGGGCCCCTGGTTCTGAAAAAAAATAAAAGGATTTGAAGACAAACAGAAGTGCATTAAACCAGGTGCTGGGAGACTCTTCCAAGCTGGTCTTATGTGACTGCGGATTGCACAGCAGTGGTACTGGCCCTGCCATACTCACATGTTTTAGGCTTTTTGGTCAGAAGTCATTGATAACCCCCCCTCCCCTCAGGTTTCCATTCTGTGACTGTCAGGTTTGTGATCTACTACTGGGTGTCAGAGGTTGCCAGCAGCCTGAACTTTCATCACTCCAGGAACTAGCTGGTGTCTCCTTAGGTCTCCTGTTTTACAAGTTCTAAACTGAATCCTCTTCTTCCCTCTGAGGGAAGCCTCCCTGGGCTCAGTATGTGTCCCCCCCCCAAACTCTCATCAGCCAGGTATTACCATGCTTTCATTCCCTAACCTCTTCCTCAAATGCCCATTTGATCACTTAAGTGTTGTATGATCGTGGGGAAAATGACATACCACTGTGTCCAGCAAAGGTGTTCATTTTGGGCCCTGGTTCTAACAGCCATTAGCTCACCTCTTTGGACTTCTTTTCCTCCCCTGTAAAACAGGGTAATAACATTTGCCTTACACACTTGATAGGGTTGTTCAGTGGCTATAGAGAGAATAAAGTTATGTGAAAGTACAGAAATTACTGAGTCTCTAGAAGGTAACTTGTCTCTACTGCCAGTTTAGCTTTTGTTTTGTTTTTAGAGACAAGATCTCCCTCTATTACTCCAACTGGCCTGGAACTTGCTATGTAGACCAGGCTGGCCTCTATCTCACAGAGATCCTCCTGCCCCTGTCTCCCAAGTGCTGAGACTAAAGGTGTGCACCATCCCCTGGCCCAGTTGAGCTTTAAACTAGACCAAAAAGCACCATGGTAAGAGAGATGCAGGGTAAATGCCACATGTGCTTAGGATGGCAGCACTTTATTGCAGGAGTGTGCAAGCATCTATAGGCCTGGAACTCTGGCAGGTGCAGCTAAGTAATTATTCCTTTGTGTTGAAAGAGTGTTGAAAGTCGTAGATGTAGCTAGGGAGAGTACAGGCATGATTCAATGGCTTCTGGGCAGGTGTGGGCTGCAAAGAGCCATAGAGGACAAAGATCTGATCCAGTCTGGGGAGTTTTGTTGGAAGTTTTGCATAT